ACGAGATTCTTTGTCCATCAATCTCTTTATGTTCTTCTCCTAATTTTTTTAATGGATAATTGATGGATTATGGCCAATTCAATACAATTTCTTTCCCTCTATTGAAACTTCCTTAATTAAAATCTTGAAATTAAAGCTCGATCTTAATTCAAACCGTGGGCAACGATTTAATTCTCCTCTTTTTTTTTACATGGCTTGGCCGGCCCTTTCATGCTGGTTTCTCTCTTACTTGTTCGGGCCATCGAGCATACATTAATTCCTAAATAGCCCATTAGTCTCCATTAATTTTTTAATTCGAAATAATTTCAATCGCGGTGTTTTAAATACACCTTAGACCTGAAATTGAATTTTTTAATCCTCTTGCTCTTTTCTAACCCGCTATTTCCAAGCGATTCCTCTTCCCTGCACGCGGCCTTGCCCTGTGCCTAGGGGAACTCGCGACCACCCACTCGTTCATGGAAATGGCTTGAATGGCGGAATGCTTGGGTAATTTATCAATATCTTCTTTATTGAATTCTCCAAGGCTGGACCGTGCTTCTGGTTTACTTGTAGCGTTGTTGCCATGTGATGTGCTCCTTGTTTAACCTTTTTGATTCCACTCCTTGCTGGGGGGTTTTCCATGTATTTTCCAGCATGTTTCCTTTGTGTATCTTGACTTTTTGCAATAGCTGCACCAAAGTGAGTCATTGTCTTTGAACTTCGAAGAATCTTTGCCCTTCTCCTTCCATGACGATTCTTTGTTCATCACCATTGCTGAGCTTTCAATTGCCTTCGGTTCTAACATCACTCCTCTTCGGCTTTCTTCTGCGCAGATGAGGGAAATGATTTCATTGAGTGATGGCGTCTACTCCTTGCCCAGAATTTAAACCCTAACTTGGTCAAATTCTGCATTTAGTCATGCAAGAAAATCATAGACTCTTATCTTTTTCAATAAAGTTCTTTTGGATCGCAGCATCTTCCTGACATCTGGTTTCTATGCATCTATAGTGATCAAGTTATTGCCACAGATTTTGTAGAATGGTGGCATACTCCGTCACTGTCTTACTCCCCTGCTTCGTACTTCCAACTTTGACTTTAAGTTCAAAGATTTGAGCCGCATCACGAGCTTTGGAGAAGGTTTGTTTGGCAGCATCCCATATGTCTTTTGCAGTCGAAAGGAACATAAATGTATCACTAATCTCTGGAGTCATGGAATTCCACATCCATGACATAATCATGGAGTCTGCTTCATCCCATGCCCCAAATTTGGGATCTCCTTCTTTTGGTCCTCCTCCAAGAAGGTGATGTATTTTACCTTTTCCCTTTAAGTAGGTCTTCACAAATTGAGACCACTTCAGGTAGTTCTTCCCATTTAGACGATAGGAAGGTTGCATGCTTTGAAGATCTCCTCGTCCTTGGTGCACTATCGACTCCTCCGCTTGGTCAATACTTTCGGAGGAATTGATTTCTGACATTATAAGATTATCTATTTCTCGTAATAAATTTCTCTTGTTCGACAATAAGGGTCGATAAGGATTTTTTTCTTTTTTCCCTTTTTTTCTCTCTCTTTTTTTTTTCTTTTATACCTGGTCAGACCGAGTCTTTAAAGGACTCGGGTTGGATACCAAGGAACGCACGGTTCCGCCTCTCCAACTGCACACGGGAGTCACGTACGAGCGGCGGGTCCTTGGTTGGCGGCGGCTTCAGCGTCAGTGGGTCGTTCGGCTCGGATCGGCAGCGGACGCGGCGAGAGCGAGGCGCGGGGCTCGGATCCGGTCAACTTCTTCACTGAGCGAGGGCCAGCGACAGAGAGGGGACTCACTTGTGACGGTGTTCCTTCGTCGAATTGGACGCGATTCTCTCTCTCGACCAGCAGCGAAGGGACGGGAGCTCACTTCGTGTGGTATCTCTCGGATGCAATCTCTCTCGCTCGATTGGCAGCGAAGGGATGGGAGCTCGCTTGTGCGGTATCTCCCTCTCCCTCCTTGTCCTTCCTGTCGGAGCGGAAGTTCCGCTTCGTCTCGGCTTCTGGCTTCGGCGTGCGGGGTCTGCAGCGATCAAGTCTCGGGTGCTCCGAGTTTTTTCTTTTCCTCCTCCGATGATCTAAGATCATTCTCCAATGGCAATTAAGGCTGTTGGCTCTAATACCATGTTAAAACGAGGATTTGCGAGGGAAAAGCTTGAAATTATTCATTACAAAATTCCCTACTTATAGATCTATACAAGATATCCTAATGATAAATAATAAATTGCAGATTTAATACATAAATAATACATAAAAATCTTTCCTAAATTCATTCCTTCATTATGGCGTGATCCACGAGAGTATCCCACGGATTGATTATTGTGTCCGTCGGATCCTTTGCACTGGGAACGGCTGGATTTCAACATGTACCTTCATTATTTTGTTAGTGTCCCTCTTTATCAGTACGATGAAAATTGTGAGATGATAAAAAAAAAGTTTTTATGATTTAGATGCGTTATCTTTTTCTTTCTTCTCTAAAGCCGGAACACAAAAATTAATGCTTTTATGGTAATTAAGTAATACATGTCAGCATCACTATCATCATAAGCCTAAGCAGACTTCCCCGTTCATTTTTGTTTAGTGCGTGAAATATGATCAAGTTTTTGAGAACGACTACTCTTCTACATTTTGTTCTGCCGTTTCCCTTCTAATCATCATCACTAGGCTTGTTGGCTTTATGAATCTTGAATGCCTATCATTCGCTATTAAAAGGTGTCAACTTTATTTTAAATTAAAATTACTATTTCTTTTGATTCTGGGATGTGTGGAAACAAAGAGCTCCTCGAATAATTGGTACTCATCAATAAAATGTCATGATTCATATCATGATTATTCGACAAGTTTTATGCTGGCTGTCAACTACCCAACGTAATCCTCCTTTTTTCTCACATCAATAAAATGTGAGAGATATTTTTATTGCACATTTTACTTGCAAACTATTTTTTTTCCAGATATTTTCTATAAAAATTTCCATGCCACCGCTAAGCATGGTGTTTTTTGATACATTCTAGGCATGAATTTCGAATATGATGAGACCTACAATTGGAACATAACAACATATTAAGATGATATGGATTTATGTTCCGGCCATTGGAAGTGGTCTTGATTTTCTGCATAAATCACGTTCAAGTTTTCAAAATGGTATGATTAGCCTCATTTTAGGAGTAATTTTATTTCTTCTAAAATTATGAAATCATAGCAGTGGATTGAATATACATGCAAGGCAGAAAGGAACCATTATAGTGCACGGCTAGCTTGTCCATATAATAACTTATTCATAGGCCGTAAGGCCAGATTGAAATTCCTTGATGTGTGTTACGCCAGCAATTGAGGCATATAAACCCTTGATAGAATTTATATTTGCACAAATTCGCCCATCACGGCTTTCCTCAAATTACTTCTTTCTAAATTTAGCAATTTGCAGTTTTTTTTTCCTGCTTCACTTGAGATGAAGTGATCGAAAAGAAATTACATTTGTGAATAAGAAAGAAAGAAGTTTGTGAATAAGAAAGAAAGAAGATGATGAAATCTAACTAATTTAAGAGAAATATTTTTTATTCCTACTTCCGAATTAATAATTGTCATACGGTAGCGGCTTGTCTGTCGAAGAGGAGAAATTATTCTGTGTGGACATCGGACACAACTTACCATCCAAAGGCGAATCAGTTGCAGCCATGTCATCCAATACCAAGTAGTATCGAGCTCGGTACCGAGCGATACCGAATAGGGGGTGACATGACGTATTTTCGTTGGACTCTGGACGGCGTTCGGTGTCTGCACAAAATAATTTTCCATCGAAGAGGCCCGGGTTTAAGCTGCTATCATTTTCATCATAATCTAACCATTCTATGAGCTGATGTTTTGTGATGATGCAGGGTGACTACCAGGTAACAGTTTCTCTAACGGGACCAGGCATTGTCTTCATTCAGAGTTTGCCTTTCCATCGCCTCTCACAGCGCATTGCTAGGCCAGTTCTTATCATTAATTTTTGCTATTTACTCTTTTTAAGATATTCTGACCAAAGTTTTGTATGGATCTAATAGCCATTCAATTTGTTTTGAGATGAATGCAATATAAATTTTAATTATTCTTCATGCGCTGTATTTTCTAAAAATAAATTCAATGATTTTTTAGACCCATCACAGCTAAATTTGGGGAAGATATCCGAACCCCAACATTTTCCCTTTATTGTTGGGCCTCCTATGTTATGCAATTAAAATAGATATTGATACTCTTGTAACAAGCTAATGTGAAGATATATAGCCTACTTTTAAATGAAGATTTGGCTCTGTATTATCTTACTCAAAATTTTCATTATGATATATCTTAAAGCTATTGAATTTGTTTTGAGATGAGTGCGATACAAATTCTGATTTATTTTTAATGTATTCTATTCATCTCATAGAAAGTCCAATAGCTTTGAGACCCGTCATAACCAAATTTTTGTGGTGATGTCTTAGGCTTCGTTTGGGAGGGCTTTTTTGCTGCTTCTTAAAACAGCTTTTTAAAATTTTTGTACTAGAAAGTCACTTTAAGAAGCAATAAAAATCCGTCCCAAATGAAGTCTTAATCCGATATTTTCTTATTTTTTTTGGGTCTCATGTTTTGGTCTTTTTTTTTGGGGCATAGAATTACTCATATTTTTATTAGTTTGAGTAACATTTATTTTTCTTGGTACAGAGCGGTCACACCTCCAGGAATGAGGGAGAATCCAAAGTTCTTCATTCAGATAGCCATCTTCTTCTTTCTTGCCTATGTTATGATTGTATCATCCTTAATCTTAACAGATGTTTAGAGTTCATTTCTTGTTTTTATTCCAGTTTTTTCCTACATTCATTCCAATCTGCGTCCTGCTACTGTGGAAATAGAGGTTCTCTTATAATACAACCCAAGGTAAAGTAGAAAATACTGTAGAAATTCGCTTGTGTTTTTGAGGCAGACTCTGAATTTTTTTCTCTTCCAAATTTTATTAACCATTTAAAGACATGTAAAGATTGTCCAGCATTGATTTTTCCTACAAGTTTTTGCAGAGTTTTCATGGTACCTACCTTGCCTTGTTAGATTGCAGCTTAGTTTGTAAGTCTTTGGTTTAAGGTATTTTTAGTAAAATATTTATGATTGGGTTTAAAATTTTTTGATTTGTTTTGAGAATAGTATTTTATATGAAGATTTTATATTGCACTAAATTTAAAGCAAATTCAATGAGTTTTATTGCTATCCCGATTTAGATTTCATTAGGGATAGTTTTTGGCTGCTATTTTTTATGGTTTTAAGAAATTTTTGTGCTAGAAAATTGTTGTAAAAAGAATAAGAAAGTTGACTCAAATGAAGTATGGGACAGCTTTCTTACTGCTTTCTAAAACAGCTTTCTAGTAAAAAAATTTTAAGTTTAAAAAGTTTTTGTACTATAGCTTTAGAAAGCAGGAAGAAAACTGTCCCAACCAGATCCTTAATTTGCATGAGAGTGTTTTGACATAATTTTTATTCTTATTGGTCTAGCTCAATGCATACCACAACACCATGCTTTTTATTATCAATTCTTACTGATTGAGGGTCTTTGTTTGGAACTTTTATTTGGTCCGTTCACCTAACGTAGCTCTACGTTCAGACGCTAGTAAATTAGTGCCACGTGTTATCATTATTTACCGCGCGGCCCGATAACCCGACCCAAAACGGACCCGGGATTGCTATGTTCGCGTATTGCTCAGTATTGTTAGTTATTGGTCGATTTTGATCGGCAATAATGAGAAATACCATTCTGTGAATACCAATATCTCGGTATTGCTCTTCACAGAGCGGTATTTCTCGTTATTGTCAAGCAATACATAGCAATACCGAGCAATACCTAGCAATACGCGAACATAGTTATTTCGGGTTTCGGTCCGGGTCGGGTCGTCGGGCCGCGCGGTAAAAAGTAAGAAGATGTGACGAAATATTATTGGCATATGAACGTAGAGCTACGTCAGGTCACCTGACCTAATAATTGTTCCTTTGTTTGGGTCAATTAGGGCAATTTTCTTTATGCTTTATTCTTACATTGTTTGGTTTTATTTGACATTTTTTTGTTGATTTTCAGACACTTTTCTGGAAAAAAAAAAATAAATAAAATTTGTTAGAGTAAGACTTCATTTGGAACGGCTTTTTTATCGCTTATTAAAACAATTTATTAATTTTTATGCTAGAAAGTTATTTTAAGGAACTTTTAAGGAGCAATAAAAAAGCTATTCCAAAAGAAGCCTAAGATTATAGGGTATCATAAAAAAGTTATTTTTTATGATTTTTAGAAGAAAACAGATGACAATCAGCTTTTAAAAATTAGCTTTCTCATAATAGTTTTATATTAGGATGTGTTTAAGATAGTTGTGGCTAATTATTAAAATAATTGTTGTGGTTATCATAAATTTTTTTATGGAGCTCATCTCAGCTCATTGATTGGGTGTCACAAGATTTTGCATATGTTTTAGTGTGTCAGTTAACAAATTAATTTTTAGAAAATATTAAAATATCGAATATTAATTTTCTTGTGACGATCATAATCTAGCAATCTGATTATAAAATAAAAAAAAAATCATCATAAATTTTTTAAATGATAATAAAATATTATGGTCAAATGGAGTGAGTGACATCTTTCTAAAAGTAAAATAGTGAAAAAGTTATCTCAAATAGTCCTTTTATTTTCATTCAAGAGCAAGGCAAATATTTTATTTATTTTTTATTTGAAAAAAAAAATTCTTTCTTAGCTTTTTTGCTTGGTGGTTTTTGTAAACATGTTATATGGTTTTGTCTTAACTTTACTAAGATTAGAGCAAGGCAAATATTTTATTTATATTTTATTTGAAAAAAAAAACTTTCTTAGCTTTTTTGCTTGGTGGTTTTTGTAAACATGTTATATGGTTTTGTCTTAACTTTACTAAGATTATTAAATTGATTTTAATGATAATTCATAATTTGGACTGTATCTCTTTAGTAGTGGTGAATTTAGAAATTATTGAGTGGGAAATTATAATAAAACTTAATTTTTAATTATCTTAACTTATATATTTGATTATATTAGTTGCAAGGTAACAAAATGTGAATAATATAATAAATATATTTTTACGATATTTTCAAGATTATGATGCTTGTGTAATTGTGGCTCTCTCTTTATATTTTAGGAGTTGTTTTGTTGGAAGTAAAGTGAGGGTAAATAAAAGTGAATTCATAGGTTTTGAGAAGTTTAGTATTTGGTTGGATGAAAATTATATTGAGCTAAAGTAAAGTCACTGAACTGTATTTCATTCTAGTTCATTTATGAGGTAAATCATTCTCGATTTAGGGAGTTTGGGTCGGGTAGCCATGACATATTACTTTGAATTTGTTGTGCTTCTAATCAAGCAATTTTTTTTTTTAAAACCCCAACATTTATTTTACAATGCACTTATGATACATAATGCCAAATAGCCATTTGTATGTAATTAGTGCCTACCCATGTAAATCAGAGACATTTGTATGTAATTAGTGCCTACTTATGTAAATCAGAAAATGCTGATACAATAGATATGCAAAAGTATTTGAGGCTCATTTTATATTTGGATCAACAAAAATAGGGTATTATATATATATATATATATATATATATATATTATTTGAAGGGGTTTTTTATTGATTGACCACATTGGAAGATAATATAATAATACATAGAATTAGGATTAAATAAAAAAAAATTAAATTCAAATTAATATGCAAATTATTATTTGCTTTGTGGCTATTATGATTTTTTATCATGTTTAATAGCGTAATCGACTAACCTATAATGATTAATAATTTTGTTTGTTATAATTTCTATGGTAATAGATAGAACTTATCATCTTAATAAGAGGAGCTAATGACTAAGAAGATGAGCATTAGGCTTTAAAGAGGTGTGGGGCCTCTGCATTGATGTCGACGAAGGGCTTTGACTCTTATTGGTGACAATAGGGGTTAGCACTGGTGTCAATAGCGGGCATTGATCTTATTGGTGACCAATGGGATCGATGACAAGTGCTATTTTTATTAGCAAAGGTGGCGTCAACTTTAGCAGTTTTATTAGCAAAAGGGGCATGAACTTTAGTTTTGACAATAGGTGTCAATCTTATCGTTAACGGTGGGCATTGACATTGTTCTCAATGGTGGGCATCAATATTGTTGACAATTGTGAGCTCGATATTTTTACTAACAATATGTATCAACTTTATTTGTAATGACGGATAACAACATTATTATAAATAATGGACATTGAGATTATTGTTGATGGTGGATGCCAGTCTTATTATCGATGATGAGTGTTGACATTAGTGTTGATGGAGGGTGTTAGCGTTGGTGTCGACGGTTATCATCGATCTTCTTGGCAATAATAAATGTAGATGTTATTGTTGATAGTGAAGTCAACTTTGATGTCGATTGTATGCTTCAACTTTATTAGTGATAATGGCATTTAACTTTCGTATTGATGCTGACCATTTATTATCAACAACTTGGTTGAACCACTCTTTTAACACCAACAATTATCATCACCAATAAGCTTGGTGCCTATCATCTACATACCCTTTGTCACCAATAAAGTCTACTCACATTATTGACAATTAGTATAACGATCACCATCAAAAGCATGAGCAATGTCCATCATTGACAACAACACTAAAACCTAACATCACCACCAATGCTGACATCCTCCATCAACTCAGTGTTGACATTCATTATCACCAATAGAGTTGATGCTCACCATCACTAGAAATGATGATGCCCATTGTTGCCACAAAAGCTAACACCCATTATCAACAACAATGTGTATGTTTGTCATTACCAATAGAGTTGAAGCCCTATGTTACAAAAAATTTTGATGCTTATCGTCGACACCATCACCAATAAGTCTAAAGCTTACTGTCGACACCAAAACCGACACACATTGTCACCAGCAAGGCTAAAGCCTATCAATGATAATAACACTAATATATATTGTCTCTAATAAGGCTAACATATGTTGCAGATAAAAAGTTGACACCCACAATCATTAATAAGGATGACATTCTCCATCACCAACAAAACCAACTCCCAACATTAATACCATGGATAACACCCTTTGTTAACACAAATGCCTGCCAATGCGTATTGTTGGCACCAATGTTAATGGCCATCATCGTCGGTAAGACTAATGATTGCTACCAATTTTAACACTGACACTATTCATCATCAATAACACTACGCCTATCATTAACTATACCATCCTAGAATCAAATTTGAAAAAATTGTATATTTATCATTTTAAGAATATACCAGAGCTTCATAAATCATTAATATACACAATAACCAACAAGAGTAACTAAAATCATATACATCAATATATTTTACTATTTATTCACCCAAAAATCCATTTATACTAGTCATGAGATCACTACAAAAGAATAAAAGAAAATACAAAACCAAAATTTAAAGAAAACTTGAGGATCTATGACAATCTCACTCCAACATGTCCTAACCCCTTCCCTGACTTGAAATCATTAAAAATCTACATAATGAGCTTAAAAGCCCGACAATAATCATCCAAAACTAATTAAAACTTTTAATGTAAGGACTAAAGAATCAATATGATATGTTTAGTTTAATATAATCAATAACAATCAATGTAGTTAATGACCAAATATTATCAATAAAACTCAATATGCTCAATAATAAAAGTATGGAATCATTATAATGAATCTAAAAATTAATAATTTGTATAAAATTCAATAAATCATTAAAACAATGACACAAAAATCTTTTATAAATTACTAAATCACTAAAAGAATATAGCATATATATTCATATGTGTCACCTATTTATGTATTATCAATGCCTCTAAAATATTGTCAATGATATTAATGTATAATTTAACAACATAGAACATCTTGTTTTAACATGATGTTTTCAACATCTTTTACCTCAACTGATTCCTAGTTAGTTATCAATCATATCAATTATCATTTATTCAATTAATCAATTATCATATTCAATTAATAAATTATAATTACATGTGACTTCATTAAATCAA